TTGTAAATTGAAAGTCAGGTGCACACGCTTTAAGGACTTCAGGAAATAATCAAGGATATACTATTGTGTGTACAGCCCAATCTTAGTTATGCTTACCTAGACACAAGTCCCACTATGTTCAATGGAGCTTGTTTCCAAGTGCACAGGGTTGTAGTCTTGGGTTGCAATCCAATACTTTTCCAGGACTAAGTCCCATCAACCTCAATAGGGCTTATTTCTGAGTAGACATATAGATAATTATGCTGCATTTTGTCATCCTAAACAATTTACTTGCAAGTAACTTCCATTAATCTATCTGGGATCACTTCCAAGAAAATAAAATTGTGATGCCTGTCTATGATCCTATGCCAAGTTAAATCATTTATGTGCCTCTATTACTAGTAATAGTAGTGAGCCAGTGTGTTGTCAGAATGTTGGCCTATTCTCAGCCTAACCTACCTCACAGAGTTGTTGTGAGGATAAAATTAGGAGGAGGAGTATTGTTCCATCTTGAGCTCATTGGAAGAAAAGTGGGATATAAACATAAAATATATACTATTTATCTATCCATATATGTATTACTGTTGCTACGACTACCACTTTATACCACTTACATGTCAAAAAAGCTTCAAAGTTGTTTACAAATATAAAACCAATTATAAAATATCCACACAAAATTAAAATACACATAAAAACATTTCCATCGAAACATTCAATGTATCCATAATTAAAATATACAATAAACCAAGCCTGTTAAAAAGCATATCAAGTGAAAGAGTTAAAAGAATTAAACAATTAGGTCAGAAAGTTCAACTGCAAGGGAACGCTTGTCAAAACAGGTATGTTTTCAAGAGGCAGCAGAACGCCAATATCAACTAGGCCCCTCATATTTCAGTCATAGCAAAACTAGCCAGACTCCAATTGCTGATCTAATACCCTTACCAGACAGCGAAGTTGGTGATACGCCATAGTCTTAGACAGTTCCAAAAGCAATGTTACCTGTGTACTTGTTACTAGAGGAACTCCACAATTTTCAGACTTGGAACTTCTTACCCATAGTGCCTCTGACACAAGCAGCAGCATCCACCCAAAGGAAAACACTCTGAAATCATATTCATTTCAGTTGCAGAGCTGTATTTATGCTTGACTTCCCTATTATTATTATTTATTAAATTTGTATACTACCCTTCATCAGAAGATCACAGGGCCTATTACAACACAAAAATACAAAATGAGAACAGAAGATACATAATAAAACAAAACAAACAAACCAATAATCCCTCTCTGACAATAAATAAATAAATTTAAAAGGCCATAGAATGTTACTCAGCCAAAGGCCTGGTCAGAGAGCAACATTTTCGCCTGGCATCTAACGATATGTAATGAATGTGCTAGGCAAACCTCCCTAAAAACACTTAATATGCTGAATGATGCTTAAAGAACCATAAGGATCACAGCTCATATTATTGGTATTATTTTCATTATTGTTCTAATTAGCATTACATATATTACACAAAACGAAGATAAGAGAACAAATTTGCATGGATAAATATGACAACTGTCACTGAGTTCCACAGGAGAAACACTGCACAGCCCAAACTTTCTTTTAAATGTGTTATCTACATGTAGTCACCACAAAAGCACTTCTGTTCTATACCACATGTGTCATTGACTATTTCTGAAAAAAATGCTTTAAAAAATAGAATGAAATCAGCTAGCGTTAATACTATGGAGTAAGTCGGCACTAAGAGATGGTGTTTATTTTGTCACAGCTTGTGTTAAAAACTGCCACCTATGGGAAAAGTGCCATACAAAATGCTGTTTTTAAAATCTGCCGTCATTGAATTTCATAAAACATGAACACTTCTTTTCATGGTTTCAAATTCTCCAGGACATGGTACAATGCACCTGAGATAAGTTTATATAAATCTGACAAAATGTTGTATTTTGCCAGACGCTCCATCTTGCAAGATGCAATCTGTTTTATTTCAGAAACAAAGTTTGCAAATTTGGTGGTTCGAATACGAGTGTTCTGAAGACACAAATTCTATAACAAAGAATAAATCTGTCTTGGGGGTTTCTATCACACACAGTTGTCAGTTTTCTTTCTTCTAGTAACTAATCTGCAATTAATTCCCCCCCTCCAAAATATATTTGATTCTTACAAATTATATTTTTATATACTAAGCACACATATTTCATAATGTAGTTTACAACATGCACTGATAGATGATTCATGGGCAAAACAGCATGTTGTAAGAAAATTAATTGTTCAATCTGAAACTGGCATCTGTAGAAATCAGTGCACATACCTGCAGGATGTAAATACAGTTTTGCTTACCTATTATATAAATATATAACCTGTATGAAGTGAATAGGAATAAATATTTGAAACCTAGAGTGAAGGAGCTGGGTTGACTAAACTAAATACTGGGTTACTCTCAGTGGAACTGCAACAGGGTGAACAGTGTCTGGTTTATTTAAATGCAATTTCCTATCACGACAGAAATAGTTGGGTGTGAAAATTGCCAAGATTATGTGTTTTAGTAGCTATTTTAAGATTAATGACAGAAATTTTAGAGATCTAAATTCATAACCATACAGTCACGGTAGACTAAAATACATCTGTCATTTCTTTTAGAAATATAAACTATACTGTGAATGCCTTCATAAAACCTCTTAAAAGGTTTTATAGATGCCACTCTGAAATTAAAAATCAAAGACTTGAAACTTATCATGACCATTGTTCATAGAACATGGCTTTCCCAGCTTGTTGTCATAGCCCCCCTCCCCCCAAAAGAAGCTGATTGGGAGGGTCAAGGGAACCTTAGGATGGTGTTGGGTATGGTGCAGGGGCACACTGAAGATGAGTCCACAATGAAAGTGAAAGCGCCTTCCTGCTTCTTGCACTAGGCTTCTTTGGATGAAAGCAAATTATAATTCAGTTTGTAAGCTTATTTATCACAGAAAATTAATAAAGTATTTATGAACAGTGCCATAGCGTAAAAATAACAATGAAGTTGGTCATTCTAAGTGTGGCTTAGTATCAGACTAAGATTTACAAGATTCACATTCAAATAACCACTTGGCCCTGAAACCCACTGGGTAAACATTTGACTAGTTACTCGTCAGCTTTATCTAGCTCATGAGGTAGTTGTGAAGATTAAAGGAAGAGAAGCCTTTTACACGGATATTTTGTTGGAAGAAAAGCAGGGTATAAATGTAGTAAAGGTAGAAAATAAAATAAACATACAAGCTATCAGCATGTGTGTCAATTTATAAGTTACTTGAGGAAAAGATATATCCCTATTCAACATAACATGAAATTTAAGTATCAACAGTACAGAATAAAATAAGAGTAGGTAAGAGAATGGACGAGAGAGACAGCAAGGGTTAGAAAGATGAATATGAAGTACAATGGTGCCATTTCAGCTGTGGAACTGAAAAAATGGTAAACTATACTTAACCCATAGGTCAGTTCTTAAGTTTCTGAGTAAATGAATTGCAAAACAGAACCTTTTTGTGCACCACCAGCAGAACACAGAATGTATGAGCAAATATAGTGAGGCACACACTGGGGTTTGGTCAGGGAGATAACTGATTTAGATTCCTGATCAGTGATTCCATGAAGCTCAATGAGTAATCTTTGAGCCGCACTGGTGATATTATGAAAAGAAATGAGGTAAGAATAATTAATTTTTAAAAACCTTTGCACATTTCTGCAAATTATATTACAGTGGAATGTCGGTTTCTGAACGTAATCCATTCCAGAAGACCGTTCGAGTTCCAAAATAGTCAAAAACCGAAAACTCAATACAGAAGCCTCAAAACAGAAAAATTAATAGGAAAAACTCAATACGAAAGCTGCCTCGGAAGTTCAACTTCCAAGGCACATTCGAAAACGGAAGCATTTACTTCCGGGTTTATGGCATTTGAGTTCTGAATCATTTGTCAATGGAGACGTTCGAAAACTGAGGTTCCACAGAAGTAATATATATACATAGGTACCTGGGAGTAAAACCCACTGAACTTAGTGGTATTTACTTCTCAGTATATCTGGGACGCAGGTGGTGCTGTGGTCTAAACCACAGAGCCTAGGGCTTGCCAATCGGAAGGTGGGCAGTTTGAATCCCCACAATGGAGTGAGCTCCTGTTGCTCGGTCCCAGCTCCTGCCAACCTAGCAGTTCAAAAGCACATCAAAGTGCAAGTAGATAAATAGATACCGCTCCGGCGGGAAGGTAATTGGCGTTTCCGTGCGCTGCTCTGGTTTCGCCAGAAGCAGCTTAGTCATGCTGGCCACATGACCCGGAAAAACTGTCTGCAGAGAAGCGTCAGCTCCCTCGGCCAGTAAAGCGAGATGAGTGCCGCAACCCCAGAGTCGTTCGCGACTGGACTTAACTGTCAGGGGTCCTTTACCTTTTACCTTTTGAGATCTGTGTCAGATTGCAATGTGAGAAGGTACAATAATGATTAGCATGCACACTGCAACTGTAGAATGTTTTAAGGAAATCACATGCATTTAGGTATCTTCATAAATTAATCCAGAATTGTTATCCTTGCACTGCAGATGTAGGGCTATGACTAAGATAGCAGCATGCCTGAGATCTAGTTAATTTATGGCTGAGAAAGATTTGAACAAGTGACTCCTTAGTTTGCAGTATGTTAAACAAGCTCTCATTGCACATCATGCCCAGTGGCTTTAAAACCAGGCTTAATCAATCTTAACCTTCTAATTGGCTTTTACAGTGCTTTATTGTCACATTTTAACTGGCTTTCACAATATTTTCAAGAATTCATATATTGTTAAAAACCAATTAAAAGATTACTGTAAAACATTCAAAGCAGTTTTAACTTGTGTAACCATTTTCAAAAAGTGGTAGTCATCAACCCAAACAACAGCACAATAGAAAGCTTTCCCCTAGCTACAAGCAAGAGCTCATCTAGAAAAAAGGCTATGTATGTCTAGAACACAGGCAGTTCTATGCCATTTAAAATACAGAATAAAAGAAAAGTAGATTAAATGTTCTGTGCATTCCACTAATAGTTTTGAGTATATATTTTAAAAATGAATATATACTCAAAACTATTAGTGGAATGCACAGAATGTTTAAAGCAACCTTACTCACAAAAATAAAATGGAATACACTTTGTTAAAAACATTGCTTCCATGAAATAAGTACACCTATTTCAATAATTGTTTGGGAATCCATACAAAATGGGGCTAAAATGTTTTTCTACTTAAGAGTGAAATCACCTTCAATCTGACCTGGCTTGGTAAGATGGTCACATAACCATATATTATTGGCTTTATAATGACATGGTATCATTAACTGCCAACTTAATTGCTGATTGATAGGTATCACTTCAGGAAGGAGCCTGTTAAATTACAACTTGCAGGTTAGGAAAAGAAGCAGGTACCAATAGGTGATAAAAAGCACACAAGAATGTCATGTAAGAATGGTTTGGGGAAAATATTCACCCTCACAAAAAACTTATTTCTACCCCAAATATTTCAGTGAAACTCTTGTGGCACACCTCCCAAAACTGCTTTGCATCCTCTAGAACTGGGATGGGGTGCTGCTACAGGGGAGTCAGGGCAATTAGCAAAAATGGTCTTTTCTGCCCTTCCACCAGTGGGATCCTCTGATGGATCAAACACCTTCCATTAACATAAGGAGTCCTTCCATTCATGGAAGATACATGTAGGATCTAATCTTTAATCTACAGAGAAACAAAGGTTTTGCTTTTACAATAGCCTCATGTGTTGTTGAAACATACTGCAGTCATTGTAGGGATGTGTCCTCAGATAGATGACAAAGTCTGTGCCATCTGTCTATTCACAGAACCAAAATGCATGATTTGGTCATAATTCTTTCAACAAATTGCTAGTACTGCAATGCTGATATTACTGCCAATTCCCACATCTGTGTCATTTTATGTAGTATACTGTTATTTCAGTATACAATGCCCAACTTCTGAATTACTACATTAAGATTATATATGTAGACGTGATTCTCATCCCATATTAAAGTATAATAAATTAAAGGGTTATATCTTAATGTGTTAAAATGCATTTTATAAGCATGTGCTTTAACTGAGGTAAATAATCACACACACAAATAAAATCTGTAACAAAATATTCAGTTTGCTTATCATTATTATTGTTGTCAGAGCAATAGGATTACTCAATTTTCTACAGCGAATGATGTGATTCTTTTTAGATGTAACCATGTGCAAACTATACCAGTAACAGCATTTGTCCTTTCTACTAGAACAAGTTCCTGGCAAGTAATAAAATGGACCAAAGCAAACACAGTGTTTCAAATTGAAAGCAAAGGTTTCGAGAGGAAATTATTCCTAGCATGAATTAAGAAACTGTGGTTATTGGGTGCAGATACTGAGTCACATTATGAATGTTGCGATATAATGGCTGATCATAAGTTTTCATAGTATTCATGTCTAACAGCCTGTAAGAAAGGAAAGGAAACTAGCCTTCAGGGAATATTAAGACACCATGGTGTCATTATGACAAATTTTCCTGAAGTGATAAGGAACTGACCACTTGCAGACTGTGAAAGAGTTGAGAAAAAGTAGTTTCAGACTGTAGTGAAAATGTATGTTTGAACATTCATTTGTGCCATTAACTCCCTGCATGTTAGGGTGAAGGGTAGTTTATAATTTGTATTCCTCGTATGCTACCTTTCCAAACAAATGATTTTCTTCCTGAATTTGGAAATGCTACAGTACACTACTGTTCCCTTGTCAACAAAACTTGGTAGCAGAATGAGGTGGGGTGGGTGACTGACAAAGCACCTTTTCTTAGCATTTTAGGTCAAATTAACCATTGCTGGGAAACGATAGCAGAAAAGGACTACTGCCGCATGTCCTTTTTCTGAGCATCTGGCTGGCCACTGTGTGAAACTGGATGCGGGAGAAGATAGTGTTTTCATCTCATCTAGCAGGGCTACGTTTGTTGTTGTTATGAGAGCCTGTCACTCATGGCTAGAATATACTTTTCATGCACAAGGTTTCAAGTTTCATGTTTGACATGTTAGGAAAGTTAGCTAAGAATAATTTGAGACCAGTTCTGGTCACTTGTGTGGAAGAAATAACAAGATCATATAATGAGATATTAGCACTTTGGTTAGTAGCCCTAGGAAGAGTAGCTTCCCAAAAAGACACACAAAGGAAAATAAGCAATCACATGTTTACCATATATCTAGTGTTCCTTGTTGCTTACAAAAATTATGGCTACATATGTGTGGAATATATAGTATGTCACTGAATCTTAATCTGGATAATATCTACAGCTAGAGTCTTCAACTGGAAGAACACTTCTCAAGCATCCTTCATTGTTATGAGCACCCCTCCATCTTTTTCAAATATTAGTAAATAAAGGAAACTGGCATAAAAACAGACTTGGCTAGCAACAAAGGGTTAGCTGACAGTCCTTAGATGACCAGCTGGGGAATGTGTGGATGTGCTGTATGTGCAGGACACACTCACAAATAATTTCATTTGGAAGAATCATGTTGCAGCTGCATATGGGTCTTGAAGTTGAGGCAGCACCTTTTACAAGTCAGCACAACTGAATATACTGCAGTGTGCATCATTCCCATTCAGAGAAGTTTATTTATGTAAATTATATCAAATGTATATTGGCTGGACATGAGAGCCCACTGGCAGGATAATATATTGTTGTGAGGGTGGTTTTTGGGGGTAGGCTATATGCCTGAGTCCCTTCTAATTCCCAGATCCAGTGAGGATTTGATAGTTGGAATAGCCAGACCACCTTCTTAGTAATGGACCTAAGTATGGGTCATTAGCAGGGCCATCTTAAGCATATGCGGCGCCAGGGTGCAACTATCCACCTGGCGTTGTCCCCCCAGGTTGCCCAGAGTTGTCAACCTTTTTTTAGGGAGCTGACGCCACGCTTATCTCTGCTCAGGAAAAGAAAACAAGAAACATAAGGAGCCTTGCGCAACAAACCAGCCCAAGGCGTCTGCGTCGACGACTGAGCAAAGCCAGGCGCCTCATGGCGTGAGCAGCGTGCACTGGGCGGGCCTCTCCATGGCCCTATGCCAATCCCAGACGTGCAAGAGGGTGGAGCTGGCCGGCCGCCTCAGTGCCTCACTGGCTCGCCCACCCCCGAACTCATGGCGCAGAAGAGCCCACAGCAGAAGAGCCCGCCATGGCGCTCTGACGGGTGGGCTCTTCCCCGGACTCCAACTCTTGGGCACCGGACTCTCGGCCTGGCGCCCCTGAGAGCCCGGCGCCCCGCACCCCTGGTGCCTATGGTTAAGACGACCTTGGTCATTAGGGTAACAAAGGAAGTGGCTCTACACCAGAGGACAAATGGGTGCCCCTCCCTCAACACACTGGGAGTTAGGAGAAAATCGAGAGTTTTGGGGTGTTTGAACTGGGCTAAAGTCAGCAGACAGACAGAGGCCTGAGATAGAAACAGCTCTCTGTAAATGGAAGGAGCCCTTCCAGGGTCCAAGACATGGTAATTAATAAAAAGTGTTCACATGTATAAAACTTGGCTCTTCTATGTCAGCAGCAACACAAATGAAAGGCCTCCTCCACACACACGTATGCAGTAAGTAAAAGCCATGTTTCTATACATGTGAGTTCATTCTGCACTGAGGAATTGTTTTCCAAAATATAGCACAGGAAGCAGCCTAAGTTAGTAAAACCCAAAGGACAGTATAAAACTACATCGCTGCATACAGAGAACAACTTATATGAGTGCAACAGAACTTCACCTTCCTCTCCTTCCCTTGCATGCACCCCAAATCTGCTCTGGAGATTCCCTTAACCCACTGGAGCAGATTTGTGGAATGTATGAGAAGCACCAAGGAGGAGAGGGAAGGAAAGTTCCATTGCATTCATAGAAGTTGTTACATGTAACAATTTAGTGAGTTAAAAGCCTATACGCTACCATTTTTGTTACTGAGATAATTAATTTAAAATATTATTTACTTTAAGGACTATTTTCAATATGCTTTTGGAATATTTTCACAGATTTTGATATATTTGAGCTAAATATTTTTGTGTAGAATTTTCAGAAAAGATTATTGCATAGGACAAGATGCTGACCAGATCCTCCTGGTAGCTTTCCTAAGAATCCATCATGGATGTATAATCAAATTTCTCATGTGCATCCTTTTAGAACAAAATCCCTGGGGGGGTGATATTATGTGGAAGAGGTCCTAGTGGAAGTAGTGGAGCATTTGCAATAAACAAACATTGTATTTTAACAGTCAAAGGGCAGGTATCAGATTCTGTAACCACATTTTCTAAGAAGAAAAAATGCATCTAACTTTCCATATTTTCAACACTAGGTCCTGTACCTCTCACACTTTCAGTACTGCATCTTGACAATGAGCTCTCCATCCAATACATAAACCAATATTTTTAAAAGAAGAAACTAATTCTAAGCAGTAACATTGACCAGCAAACAAGAAACACACAAACAAATAAAAGTAAAAACATCATATAAATTTGGCTAGACTAATCAAAGCTGGAAACACACAGCTAGCAAGGCTGCAAATTGAGTTATAGGAAATACAGGGTGAAGGAAGATGAAAACCTTACGTATTAGAGAGTTCTTTGTTTCAGCCAGCTGCTGCCAGCCTGTCTGTCTGTCTTTCAAAGTCTCAGAAAGTTGTGTATGAAAATCTAAATAAAATAAAATACATAAGTTTTAGAACCAGCTCTTCATCAGCCTTCATTGTCACATAAGCATTTTTAGATGGCACGTTCAGCAGTCAGGATTTTGAGAATTGTTCACCTTCGCCACCCACCACACATCAGCAAAACATTTTGTGCAACTACATCTAATATCCCAAAAACATGCTGATACAATTACTAGGTGTAATGTATATTAGTCCCCTTGGACTATACCATTCATGAACAAATTTTCAATGTGAATATTGTCTGTTTATATTAAGTCATAGATTTTGCCTTGAGTTACTTTACTTACAAATATTAATAAAGAATCAACATCATCTGGATTATTTTTGCAGAATGCAAATTAGACAGGAAACCAAGTAACTGAGAATAAACAGAATAAGCCTAATAACATGTTTCCAATTTATATCAAAGG